TTCTTTCGTTACTGTGTTCACAAACTTGAGGGGAAACAGCATCATGATTTGTGCCATTTGTATGACCTTGAATGCCATGGCATCAGGCTAGGTGATTCTTTGTGTTCTCCATCTGAAGGGTCCCTGGTGCTGCCTGCTGCAGACAGGTTTGATTATGGAGCACTGGGCCACATGAGGAATGTCGAGGATTCTGGTTGGGGCCAAATGGAACAGGAAGGGGAGATTAGAGGGCAAAAAAAATACACATCTCGCCCAGTTCATAGATTAGCCCATAGTTGGACCTATTCATGCCCACCCCCTTTTTTTTCATGTGCCCTACACTGAGGGACAGTACCATTTAGGGAATGCCTTCCTGGTGTTGTGTTAGTTACATGGCCTCTTATATGTGGGTTGCATGGGAGTTTCACTTGGTAGAATTCTGACAGATGGAATAAATATAACCCTCAAGTTCAAAACAGTCATCTTATGTTATGAGCTTTGTAATACAAAAGTGACTAAGTGGAGAGGGTAAAGAATGCCTCCTAGTAAGAGTGACCTTTGAGCCATGTGAGATAGGAGTCTTTGTTTTAAAGGTAATTCACTCACTCTCTTGCTTGCTCATTAATTTGCATGTTCAATAAACATTTATCAAGTGACTATCACGTGCCAGGCCACTTTGTGTTAGGAGGAAGAACAGAGGTCACAGCCCTTGCCCTCAAGATGTCATCATTTAGTGGAGAACTCAGGAGGAGTGGATAATTAGGGGTCAGTGCGATGGGTGTCATGACAGGGTTCTTTGGGCATCTCATCTGGATGGAGGGAGTTAGATGCAGGAGACATGTCAAAGAAGATTGATGATAAATATGAGTTGCATTGTATGTAATGGTTTGTGCCTTTTGGGGTTCATAGATTCAGGGAGAGTCAGAACTCTGGACTCTGACTAGAAAAATGTGCCTACACATAAAATTTTATATACTCGATGAGGGTTCTCTGAGTCTCTAAAGCCCATCCATGAACCCCTAGTTAAATGCTATTGTAAGAGTTGGTGCTCATAGAGCAGCAGGGACATGAGGCCATGGAGAATGCCAGTGGCTGCTTTAGGTGGGTACTTGGGAGAGGAATATTTTCCATTATCTCTACTATGGAAAAAGCAAGCAAGCCATGTGGCAATCCCAGCAGGCCTCAGTGATCACTCTCTCTTGCTAGTGTTGGTGGTAAGTGGAAATATAAATATAGTCAGAAACATGGTTCAGGACAGCACAAGTTAAGATCTGCCAAACGGGGAACAGCAATTCTTCATCTTACGTTTTTTTAAAAAATCAGTCAGGGGTCATGTGGTGATGAGCTGTTCTCGTGGCTCATCGATGGCCTCCCAGATCCCTCCCCTCGTTACCCCCTCTTGTTTCCTTTGCTAGCCCCTCCCCCGTGAGCCCCATGGATCACTATTACCCTCTGAGGTTTCTAAGCTTTTCTGCAGAAAGACATAAAACCATCAGCAGGGGTTCTCTACCCTCAGCAGTCCACAAAGTACCCGGCAATGTTTTTTTCATAACTTGTTTATCCCCTGTTACACCCCCTGAACCCATTTTTCCAATAATCTCATTAGGCCACCAACTGAAGTTCCGTAAGATGGTCTCAGTTCCCCTTGTACTAAGAAGATAGCCCATCTCCCAGGATCTAGCTCAGCTTCCGTATAATCTCTACTTTAATTTTTTCTGAATCTTCACCCATCCGCCTCCTCGTGATCCTCTCCAAAAGGATGAAATCCCAGTCCCTTTATAGCCTAACCCCTCCACTGTGTTTCTGACCTGTCACGGCGCCCCGCTCACCTCACTGCTCCCCCAGCCATGCAGGCTCTGCAGCTGAGTCCCTCCCTTCATGGTGACTTTCCTAGGAGGCGGTCTCCCCTGTCCACTTCCTCCCCACTCGCTCACGCCTCAACACCACTCTTCCACCACTAGACCTACAGGGATCTTTCCATCGCTGTGTCCTAGACTTACTGCCTTTGTGAACTTGACAGCGTCAGACAAGCCTTTCCCTTGAGTCTCCTGCGACAGTACCCTCCAGGCCCTCCTGACTCACCTGGATTTTACCTTTTCGTAATCTCTGCCCGTCGGTCGCCTCCATGACTCTGATTCCCTACCTCTTCCCCCTACTTTCTGTTTTTTCTCTTTATCTTCATCTTCATACTTCCCTTTCTCTCCTGTTCCCTCTTAACAATCTCATCCACTCCCCAGACTTGAATAATTCACAAATTTGTCTCTGTCCCTGACCTTTGTCCAGGGGCCTAGTTCTTTATTTCTAACTGCCTGCTAAACATCGACAGCATGATGTATCATCAGCACTAAAACACCCACTGTCTGAAGCCAGACTCATCGCTCTCACCAGAACCAGTTTCTCTGTACGTTTTTGTCCCATTTAATGGCATCCCATCCTCTGTCACCCACGGTCATCTTTGAGCATCACATCCCATGAGCTACAGCTTTGCATTGTCTCTTGCATTTGGCCTCATCAGGGTGCTCGCCAAGTTAGACTTACGTTGTTATGGAGCCTATTAACTTGCCATTTAAGGGCAGGGTACTCATCTTATTCATCTCTGCGTGCCGCTTGGTGGCCGGCATGTGCCTTTCCAAAGGAGATCCTCACTGTTTGTTGAATAAATGACTGTGAATTAAGTGTTTTATTGTTTTACTTGCATTTCATGAGCTATTTGTCATTGAACATATTTTCCATCATTAGTTCTCTAAATACTTTTATTCTTAACCAAGCAAGCACTAGAATAAAGTTTCACACCCAGAACCAACCATGGTTACTTCTGCTCTTTTTCAGGAAGAGCAAGTAGGTGAGGATGCTCGGGTTGGGAGGCATACATTTACCCTTCCTTCTTTAGAGCCAGCTATGATACAGAGGGTTACTGTGTTTTCATGGCAATTTTAGATAACTTACATCTCCCTTTATACATCGATTTTTCTGCTTTCTCTCTTCTTGATTTTTAACAGGTTTTCAAAATGGAAACTACCACTATGACATTAGATGCTATTGATAGTACATCAATATGATTCAGCTCTTCCCCTGCCCAGCAGACGGTAGCTGCTCTGTGCACAGCCCTGTAATGCATATTAGTTGCACAGACATTAGGAAAGCCCTTCCCATCCATATGTGTGTGCATGGCCCGTGGAAGTTAATAATGCCATATATCACGTGCACGGAGAATGTACAATGTACTTCAGAACAACGGTGGGCTCATACAAAATGAGTATTGGCTTACGAGAAGAGGAAAACCAGGGAAACAATTCTGGCCTTTCAAATCTACTGTTTACTGAATTATTTGTTTCTGTGTGTCTCAGTATCCCAGACCCACATTCTGCCTGTTTTTGGTGTGTGATTTTCATTACCTGCCCCTCTCTCTAGCCACCTTGTTTCACGTGGATAACAAAAGAAGCCCTTTGGAAAAATGAAAGATAGCACTTACACATTGGTATTCATGTTGCAGGACTCACACTGCTGTCCTTGGGGAGTTTAACAATGAATATCCAACATTAATTGCCACAGTAACTGCGTGTCTGACCTTGCTGAAATGTAATACATCAGCTTTACATAGGAAAATTATTTGCCACTAAAAGATTTAAAAAGAATCATCATAAAATTATGTTGCTGTTTAGAACGACCAATATTTTCTGTTTTTAAGATCCTGGAGGATCCAAATGACTAGGTCCCTACGCTTTCTTAGGGGTCAGGACTCTGGGAGCTGAATTCATAATTTTATCACTGATTTAGTTGACAGTTATAACAAGATGAGGCTTTGTTTTTCTTACGAAGAGTGAATAAAATACATTGAGATCCCTGATAGGTCTGTGGAGCTGATAAATAATGAGGCAGAACAGACTTAGTACCTTTTATCCTTTGGGGAAGGATATTCCTTATGCTTGTACTTAATTATAAGGTAGGGTTTTCTGTCAGCAGCAGAAACATGCTAGGAACCCTAGGACATGTTTTTCTTTTTAAAGAAGAGACATCATTTTTAAGACGAAGCCTACTTACAATCAACTTTTCTTGCTTTGATCTTTTGCTCAAATCCTCAGACAGAGGCAAGATTTTCTTACATGTATTTTAAAGTTCTTTTTCCCAGGCTCCCTTAGGCTTCCCGGGTGTCACCCATGGGGAGAATTTCACACGCACACTCTGGAAATGTTCATCACTTGGGTCAGGCTGCACACTGCTGGGTCAGCAGCGAGCCCGACTCCCCGACTCCGGCAGCCACGTCAGCGGGCCACGCTGGCGCTGGGCTGTGGAAGCTGCGTGTGCAGAAATGAGTGATTGTTCAGCCCTCTCTCTCTTTCCAAAGGGACTGAGGTGAAGAAAGTCAGTGCACTCACCCATGACATCCGAATTTCAGCCTAGATGAGATTCTCACTAGAGATCCATTGTTGCTTGTACTCTGGCGAAACAAGTACATGATAGATTGGAAGGGCCATCTCAAGCCTGGAAAACAAATGGGCCGAGTGATGGAATGGGCAGCTTGGGGCCCACCTTTTAAAGCAAGGCTTCGACATGGAGTATGATACTATCTACCGCCACTCCTTAACGTGGCTTGTTCGCGTTCATATTTAAATGATGTTATAAATGACTTTCCCGGTTTAAAAGAGTGATTGTTTACTAAGCATTAACCAGGGAAAAGGGAAAACACATGCCGTGCGTATGTTGTGTTTTTTTGAAACTCTGGATCTTTCAACTCAGATCATTCAGGTAGCTTTCAAAGCGAACTCTCTGAATCCTACCCCCACTTTATGATTTTTCTATTTGCTTTAAAGTATTTCTCTTTCCCTCATGCTTTATGTGTCCTTAGAACTTGAGCCTGGACACTGCCCAAGAGGGAGATTTTTGACCCGTCTCCTAATTTATTCTGAACCTTTACAGAAATTCTGGTGCAAAGCAACTCAAGGAAATGCAGCTGTAGTTAGCTCCTTTTCTTTCTTTTTAATTCTCTCTCCCTTTTTGCCTTCTCCCGTCCCCAATGAAAGCAGGATGTTGAAGTGACGACTGTTAGAGAGCAAGAGCAGAACGTCCTGGTGCTGAGGAAAGTGCAGCGCTGTGGCCCGGCCCCCCCAGGCGGGAGCGCAGACGGCGATGGGAGGTGAGTTTCCACCGAGGCTCGCTCNACTCTGGAAATGTTCATCACTTGGGTCAGGCTGCACACTGCTGGGTCAGCAGCGAGCCCGACTCCCCGACTCCGGCAGCCACGTCAGCGGGCCACGCTGGCGCTGGGCTGTGGAAGCTGCGTGTGCAGAAATGAGTGATTGTTCAGCCCTCTCTCTCTTTCCAAAGGGACTGAGGTGAAGAAAGTCAGTGCACTCACCCATGACATCCGAATTTCAGCCTAGATGAGATTCTCACTAGAGATCCATTGTTGCTTGTACTCTGGCGAAACAAGTACATGATAGATTGGAAGGGCCATCTCAAGCCTGGAAAACAAATGGGCCGAGTGATGGAATGGGCAGCTTGGGGCCCACCTTTTAAAGCAAGGCTTCGACATGGAGTATGATACTATCTACCGCCACTCCTTAACGTGGCTTGTTCGCGTTCATATTTAAATGATGTTATAAATGACTTTCCCGGTTTAAAAGAGTGATTGTTTACTAAGCATTAACCAGGGAAAAGGGAAAACACATGCCGTGCGTATGTTGTGTTTTTTTGAAACTCTGGATCTTTCAACTCAGATCATTCAGGTAGCTTTCAAAGCGAACTCTCTGAATCCTACCCCCACTTTATGATTTTTCTATTTGCTTTAAAGTATTTCTCTTTCCCTCATGCTTTATGTGTCCTTAGAACTTGAGCCTGGACACTGCCCAAGAGGGAGATTTTTGACCCGTCTCCTAATTTATTCTGAACCTTTACAGAAATTCTGGTGCAAAGCAACTCAAGGAAATGCAGCTGTAGTTAGCTCCTTTTCTTTCTTTTTAATTCTCTCTCCCTTTTTGCCTTCTCCCGTCCCCAATGAAAGCAGGATGTTGAAGTGACGACTGTTAGAGAGCAAGAGCAGAACGTCCTGGTGCTGAGGAAAGTGCAGCGCTGTGGCCCGGCCCCCCCAGGCGGGAGCGCAGACGGCGATGGGAGGTGAGTTTCCACCGAGGCTCGCTCCCGCTTCCCTTCCCTTCCCTTCCCTTCCTTTCCCTTCCCTTCCCTTCCCCTCCCCGGCCTGCCTTCCCTCCCCGCTCCATCTCACTCCCTGCTCTGCCTCCCCTTTCCTCCCCCCTCCCTTTTCTCTCCGCCTCCCCAGCCTCCTAGCTGACTGCAGAGCTCTTAGCAGCCAGATGGACTCAGTTCCCAGGGAAAGACCGAGATGGCCAAGATCTGTTAGCATTTAGGGGATGCCTTTGTTAGTCGCCCGGCATCATGGGCAGCTCCCGGCTGAGGGTCTCTGACCCCCACCTGGAGAGGAAGGACCCTGCGGGGCTCTCAGGCCGAGAGCGGCCCTTGCCCACCTTCGATGTGCCTTATTTCAAATACATTGACGAGGAGGATGACGATGAATGGAGCAGCCGCTCGCAGTCCTCGACCGAGGATGACTCCGTGGACTCTCTGCTCTCTGACAGATACGTGGTCGTGTCCGGGACCCCAGAGAAGATCCTGGAGCACCTTTTGAATGACTTGCACCTGGAAGAAGTCCAGGACAAAGAAACAGGTAAGACCGGGCGGCTGCCTGTCTCCCGCCTGCAGACCCGGCAGCGCCTGCCCTTGTCGGCATCCGGAGGAGCCCGGCTCCCGCTGTCGCTGCGCCCGGGTGGGCTGATCCAGCATATGCTTCGCGCCCCTCCCCCTCGGCCCCGTGCTGTTTTGTTTAAATCCAGTAAATGGACACATGTAGATCCAAGCAGCTGCCTGGGAAGTAGCTGTACAAAAAGGGTAGGAAGGCAGATGTTCTGGTTTCTTTGGCAGTTTTTACCCGATCTCACCTAAAGGCGGTTGGCAAGGGGCCAGCGTTCACTAGCCGGCGTTCCATGGGAAGAAATGCAAAGCGAGGGGGTTAGCAAGCATTCACCTGGCCTGTGTGAGGCACTGAACTGGGGGGAGTAGGCTCCCAGGGAAATGTCAACAATTAATGCAACTACTCAGCAACTGTCAGCTTAGCAACTTCTGCCTTTTCCCAAGTGGTTTACAAACTGCCCAGAGCACGCCCTGCTGTGCACAACAGGATACGAATAGCTTCTCAGGCCAGAAATTGTAATTCACTGAAGTCTTCCTGGTCAGACTTCTTATCTTGTCTATTTAATCTGGGAGCAAAATACCCGTTTAGCGTTTTCAGCTTTGCACTTTTGCAAATACTACTGTTGCACTTACAGAATGACCTAACCACACTTTCTTTTTCACAGAAGGGTGAGTCCTTGCTTCTCTAAACCAGAATTTGTAATTTGTTCCAGCCTAGAGCAATTATTCCAATGAATAGGCCTCTGGCTATAGCCTGGATTCTGTAACTTGATCCCCTGACCAAAATGCACTGTTTGCTGCC